TTGGTTAGGTTACTTGCAAATTCAAGTATTTCCTATCACAATCTTCCATCTCCCACCACCAAACCTTCAAACCCTAACCCTAACCCTAACCCTAATTGTAGCCGTCAGCCACCCTATCTCCCTCTTAGCCTCCAAAATTCAAATCTCCACATTACTTCTTTCCTTTTTCCCTATAATTCACTTTGGGAAAGCTTTCAATCCAATCAACCAATCAAAATTTGAGATTTGAATTATTTCCTAAAATAGAGTTCTATTTTAGGAAACTTCTCCAATCAAATCCAAATCAAATTTAAATTGGATTGGAATTAATTTCCCCTCCTTAATTTGGAGTTCCCAAAGAGGCAAGCACTAAAAACTTTTCCCCAATCCCCTTTCCCCCTCTTGAAGCCGTTGGCCCCCTCTCTCTCTACCCGCCCCTCCTCTCTCTCCAATCCCCTTGAATTGTTTCCAAAGGAGAAACCTAATTCTTGGAAACTTTCAATCCCTTCTCCCTCCCACTACGATCAACTTACGGATTAAAACTTGAATCTCCCTTCATCCCTCCACCTCTCAAAATCTGAACCCTAAATTCCCCAACCACCCTAGCTTGACCGGCCCTTCTTACCCTCCTCTTTTTCTTGAATTTGCTTGAGAGAACCCTTCTCTAGCAAAATAACTTCTCAAGGGCATCAAAGAATCATCTCTTCGTGTTCTTCTCCTCATGAATGATTGATCTGGAGCGTGACTACGGCTTCATCTACAACACCCAAGGACAAGTGGACATTCTCCAATCTTCATTCTTCAACATCACTCCGGGGCTTGACCAAACCGTGGAGGAACACGTGGAAAGTATCATCCACACCCTAGCCGCCGTCATTTAGTGGAAGATCGCTTCCATTTAGTGGAAGATTACTTCTAATCCTTGATAAGGGTAAGCCAGACCATCTAATATGTATCTTCCTAGTCTACGTCTCGATTGTAAGAATATTTGGATTCATGAAAATCATGGTAATCGTTCTCCACTAAAGCTTAGTGTTTAGTAGAATTGTGTGAGGAATCTTTCATAGTACTGCTATTGTTAAGTTAGGGATTTCTTGTTGAAACCTATCTTGTATGCAACGTTAAGAGTAATTGGTTGTTTTGTGGCTTTTACTTTTTGCAAGTAGAATGGCCTAAGCTAGTGTTTATCGCTCTATGTGTTTTAATTCATGTTTGAATCACCATCAAGATTTAATTAATTTGCTTTTAATCATTAAACGTGCAAAATCCTTATCTAAATCATAAATTCATATATGTCCTGCATCATATTTCAACCAACCAAAATTAATCATCAAAACCAAAAAGCATTACAAAAGTGGATATACTTACAGTCCGTGCTGGAGCATTGACCCCCATGGCAAATGTCTCTGTGGAGAATAACACCTAATAAAAGAAAAAGAACATTACTAACTAGTTTATTAAATAAAACTTACAAATAATAATATTATCAAATTCCAAGTTAAAACGCAAAAGTCTCACCCCAGCATATAAATGAACATTTAGAAATTGTTTTGACAAAAAAGAAATCAAATTAGAGTTGATATATCAAATTGATTACTGACAAGAAAAACTGTTATCAGCTATAACTTAGCAAATATGCTAATTGACTAAACTAGACAGTGCAACCTAGAAGGTGAAGAAAGACATAAAAACTGTTAAGGATAGTAATCATTCAACCAATTCTAACTAATTTATCATGAGCCAAAAAGCTCTACCCGAACTTAAACAAAACCTACTGACCCAATGACTGTAACCCAAGTCAAAAAGTCAAATCACCATATTAATTTTAATTTTTTAGCTTGAATCTAGTCAAATGCATGCCAGCTCAACTTGACCCACTAAAACTTCACTAACATTACACTATGTATATATTCCATCGCCTATATTAATGATGAGCATAGATATTTAATTTAACTGCATGTATGCATGAATTTACACACATTCATCAACCAAGGTAGGGACCTAAATTTAATCCAAACTAAGCCGATATTGGATTGTAGGATTGGATTTGCATGCAAAAAACGTCCCACAATTATTTCAATGCGGGTTTGCTAAATAAAAATAATAGCATAAACTTACACTAGCTCAAAAAAGAAAAGCATGGCTCTTTTCTAAGATATAACTACCAAAAATAAATAAAATATCTTTTAAAAAGTGTGACTATATTTACCTACACAATATTTTCATGGAAATCCAAGAATAACAATCCCTCATGATTGGAGTTTTGCAAAAAGATTTGCCCATAACAAAGTTAATCCCTTGCGTAGTACTTGACAGAAATGATTGGAAAATAATGAAATTCATAACTGAACCCAAACCATTGGCAGAAGTTCTTGTTGATGTTAGTTATTGATCCTTTCCTCCACGTCTTCAACGTATCATCAATTAACGTCGAACTCTGCACTAAAAGAATTGGCCTACCGAGTGATCTACCTCCAAGAAGAAAAATCAAAAACAAACATCCAAAAAAGAATAGTTGGCAGACTTATTTTTCAAATTAAGTCTCTTTATACTTCTTATCGACTGGAGGTGAAAAAAACTATTGTAAGTCAACTTAATGGGCTAATAGCAATTGCTCACACTTAAGAGAGGATATAAGCAATCACCACACAAAAAAAGTAAATTAAGTTGGATAACTGATTAGACACATCTTCTATTGGTTGGTCAATGCATCACATGAAGAGGGTGGTCATTGGAGAGTGAACACGCATCTTCTAAGGATTGGATAAAGCATGAACATATAGTCATGAAAGCCATTAGTACTAGATGACCTAGGTTATGATATTGTCTAGTCATCCTCAATACAATTAGAAAAGTAATAGAGTCGAGCTAGCCGTAAATATGTTAACTGAGTTCAAAAATTGGTTTCAATAAGTATTGAATTTGAGCTCAACCTTTTAATTAAGCTTGTTAGAAAGACAATCTTAGATTAAAAACTTGTTTTTCGACTCAAACGTTTTTAAGTACGTTCATTAAATGTATCTTAAAATTGCCCACACATTTAGAAATTATTTAAAGTCTATTGCATGCATTACAAAAGTTCTAAATTTCTTGAATCCAAGCCACCTCAACTCTTCTTCCAAGCATGGTTGGGAAATCCTCCAAGCATTCATACTCCCAGAATCTTCTTCCTCCAAGCATCCTTTAACCTTGACTTTCCTTCCCGAAGTAGGTGTAATGAGTGGGGAATAACATATCTTTCCTTTCTGTTAATGAAAGTGTCAAATCCTTATGTTACAACAACAACAACATCAAGCCTTTATCCCACT